TTGTAAGTTTTTACAGAAGGTTTGTGCTTAATTTAGTTTCTATTGCTACCCCCTTAACAGGGATCATTAAAAATAATTTTATCTTTTTATGGGGCAAAGAACAAGAAGATGCCTTCAATGAAATGAAGGAATGTTTAACTAAGGTACCTTTACTTGCACTACCTAACTTTGATAAGTCTTTTGAAGTGGATTGTGATGCTTCTGGAATCGGAATTGGGGCTGTATTGACTTAAGAATGAAGACCCATTGCATATTTTAGTGAAAAGTTGAATGGTGCTTTGTTAAACTATCCAACTTATGATAAAGAGATGTATTCTCTAATAAGGCCACTAGAAGTTTGGCAGCATTATCTCATAACAAAGGAATTCGTCATACACACCGACCATGAAGCCTTAAAGTATATCAAAGGCCAACTCAAGTTGAACAAGGGTCATGCCAAATGGGTGGTGTTTTCGGAGTCATTTCTCTACGTTATTCATTACAAGAAAGGTAAAGATAACATTTTAGCGATGCTCTCTCCAAAAGGTATGTACTCCTTAATGCTCTTGATTCAAAGTTAATTAGTTTTTCATATATTAAAGATTGCTATGCTATTGACCATGACTTTGAAGAGAAGTATAAAGCTTGTGAAAAAGGTGCATATGAAAAGTTTTATAGGCACGAAGGGTATCTATTCAAAGAAGGGCGTCTATGCATTCCTCAAAGATCTCTTCGAGAAGTACTTGTTCGAGAAGCACATGAAGGAGGTCTCATGGGTCATTTTGGAGTAAGTAAAACATTGGAGATTTTGAAACAAAACCTTTATTGGCCTAAAAAGAAGAGAAACGTTGAAAGGGTATGTGAAAGATGTGTCACTTGCAAAAAGGCAAAATCAAAAGTTATGCCTCATGGACTTTACATGCCTTTACTTATTCCTCAAGCACCATGGGTTGACATATCAATGGAATTTGTAATGGGACTACCAAGGACAAAGAATCGGCGAGATTCAATATTTGTTGTAGTGGATCATTTTTCCAAAATGGCATATTTCATACCATGCCACAAGACCGACGATGCAACACATGTGGCCAACTTGTTCTTCAAAGAAATTTGAGATTACATGGCGTTCAAAGAACCATAGTATCCGATAGAGATGTCAATTTTCTTACCCATTTCTGGAGGACATTATGGAGTAAGATTGGGACAAGATTGCTATTCTCCACAACATGTGACCCTCAAACAGATGGGCAAACCGAAGTGGTGAATCGAGTATTATCAACCTTGTTTAGATCTATCATAAAAAAAGAACATCAAAGCTTGGGAGGAATGCTTACCACACGTTGAGTTTTCATATAATCGGGCAGTCAATTCAACGACCAAGATGTCATTATTTGAGGTAGTGTATGGATTAATCCCTTAACAGCTCTAGATCTTATTTCTTTGCCTCGGGAACACATAGTCAACAAAGATGGCAAGAACAAGGCTGAATTCGTTAAGAAACTTCATCAGCAAGTTCGAGAAAATATAGAAAAACAGACAAGGGAATATGTACAGCAAGAAAATAAGGGAGAAAACAACTAAAATTGGAGGAAGGTGACAAAGAGGAGATCCAAGTTATTACCAAGAGGAGATGGACCGTTACAAATCATCAAAAAGATCAATGATAATGCATACAAATTGGATCTACCTGGTGAATACAATGTAAGTGCAACTTTTAATATTTCAGATCTTTCTCCATTTGAAAACAATGACGATTTGACGACAAATCTCTCAAAAGAAGGAGAGAATGATGTGATCACATCTACACAATTGCATCTTGAAGTCATGCCTAAAGAACCTATCACTCGTGAAAGGGCAAAATAATTCAGGGAAATACTTTCTCGTAAGTGCATTCATGCTTTTAAATCTTTTAATGAGAAAGAACCATTAGATAATAGGTTGTTTAATATGATACATATTGAATATTAAATAACCGATAGTCCACATCTTTATATTATACACATTATATAAGTTTATATACTTAGTTTATTTACTTATGTTATCTATGTAGGCACATTCAACCATAACCTGGGAGCTATATTGGAGCTAAATGAAGCATGCAACAACAAGGAAACTTACATGGGGACGTTTAGGAGAGCATAAGGAACCAATGGTCAAAAGTTGTCTGGGGACCCGTGAGCTCATAGCTGGATTGAGCTGAAAATTTGATCTGTAAGATGACTTCAATTCAGCTGGGGAGCTTCACTATCATCACCACCACTTAGGACACTTTAAATATGTCCTAAGTCAAATTTTGTGGAATCAAACCTTTTCGCGAATAGTTGCCACCACAAGAGGTACCTTTTCACAAGGAGCTGCCATAACGTTCACCATGCTACAACTCACTTACGACCAGCTCACCTCCAGCTCATTCACACCAGAACTAGCCCAAACATGAAAGGTTACCTTTCCAAATATTGTGACCTTTCATGAATGATGCTGCCCATTAAGATGCCCTTTCACCAAGGAGCACGTTGGTGAAGAGATCACACCCATTGGAGGTCTAAATCTTCAAAGGACATGAGATAAAGCTCCATGCCTATTCGGCCACACCACATGAGAGCTTTGGCGCCAAACATGAGGAGGCACGTCATCATTCGGCCAAAAAGATGTAAAGATGAACCAGCATGCACATTTGGCCAAGGGAAATGTCTCCCCACCCTTTGCCGAAACATTTAGCCCCTTCATGAAGGGTTAGTTGAACAAACACCAAGCCAAGGGACTTCTCTTTTCATTATGAATCAATAAGTACTTCCATAGAACATGTACTTAACCAAAACACTATGTAACCATTCCGCCAAGCCCTCATTTCCTATAAATTGAGAGGCTTGCCATCATTTGTAATCATCTCATATATTAAACAAACTCTTGTGAGTTAAGTTCTCTTCAAAGTTCTTTGTGAACTTTATCAATTAAGCAAGCATAATTCATATACTTGTAGCATCATACCTTCCATCTTGATTCCTAAATTCCTAGATTTATATCTAGTGGGTTGAAGACACTACCAGTACCCCTCAAGCAAGTTTGTGAAGATCGGGATTGTGCTTCATAGCATAGTTTCCTCTTTGGCATGTTTGAGATACACCATTCGTAGCCATCTCTTTGCTATCTTTATTTCATTTTCTTATTTTTATTTAATCATTTCTTATTCCATTATTAATTCCATTTATTCTTATCTTTGTTGCAGCCCAAACTTAAAATTCAAGGAAATCAGTACCTGTCAATCCTAGATCGACATACAATAAGGTTATCTACTTACTTCCATCAAAGCATGTACATTCAGCCTACATCAAGTGGTATCACATCATAGTTGGATTGACAACAAAAGTGTCATTGGCGTGCAAAGCAAAAAGAAAAAGAAATTCAAAAAAGAAAAAGATAATGATAATGCATACAAATTGGATCTACCTGGTGAATACAATGTAAGTGCAACTTTTAATATTTCAGATCTTTCTCCATTTGAAGACAACGACGATTTGAGGACAAATCGCTCAAAAGAAGGGGACGATGATGTGATCACATCTATACAATTGCATCCTAAAGTCATGCCTAAAGAACCTATCACTCGTGCAAGGGCAAAACAATTCAGGGAAGTGCTTTCTCATAAGTGCATTCATGCTTTTAAATCTTTTAATGAGAAAGAACCATTAGATAATAGGTTGTTTAATATGTTACATATTGAATATTAAATAACCTATAGTCTACATCTTTATATTATACACATTATATAAGTTTATATACTTAGTTTATTTACTTATGTTATCTATGTAGGCACATTCAACCATAACCTGGGAGCTATATTGGAGCTAAATGAAGCATGCAACAACAAGGAAACTTACATGGGGACGTTTAGGAGAGCATAAGGAACCAATGGTCAAAGGTTGTCTGGGGACCCGTGAGCTCATAGCTGGATTGAGCTGAAAATTTGATCTGTAAGATGACTTCAATTCAGCTGGGGAGCTTCACCATCATCATCACCACTTAGGACACTTCAAATATGTCATAATTTAAATTTTGTGAAATCGTACCTTTTCGCGAATTGTTTCCACCTCAAGAGGTACCTTTAACAAGGAGCTGCCATAACGTTCACCATGCTACAACTCATTTATGGCCAACTCACCTCCAACTCATTCACACCAGAACTAGCCCAAACATGAAAGGTTACATTTCCAAACATTGTGACCTTTCATGAATGATGCTGCCCATGAAGATACCCTTTCACCAAGGAACACGTTGGTGAAGAGATCACACCCATTGGAGGTCTAAATCTTTAAAGGACATGAGATAAAGCTCCATGCCTATTCGGCCACACCAAATGAGAGCTTTGGCGCCAAACATGAGAATGCACATGAGAAGATTTAAAGATGAACCAACATGCACATTTGGCCAAGGGAGATGTCTCCCCACCCTTTGCCGAAACATGAAGCCCCTTCATTAAGGGTTAGCTGAACCAACACTAGGCCAAGGAACTTCTCTTTTCATTATGAATCAATATGTACTTCCATAGAGACACGTACTTAGTCGAAACACTATGTAACCATTCGGTCAATCCCTCTCATTTCCTATAAATTGAGAGGCTTGCCATCATTTTAATCATCTCATCTTAAATATTAAACAAGCTCTTGTGAGTTAATTTCTCTTCAAAGTTCTTTGTGAACTTTATCGATTAAGCAAGTATAATTCATATACTTGTGGCGTCATACCTTCTATCTTGATTCCTAAATTCCTAGATTTATATCTAGTGGGTTGAAGACACTACTACTACCCCTCAAGCAAGTTTGTGAAGATCGGGATTGTGCTTCATAGCATAGTTTCCTCTTTGGCGTGTGTGAGATACAACATCACCACCATTGCCATTTCATCATCAACCATTATCAACATCCTTCATCAATGCCATCATCAACTCCAAATTCCGCAACCATCTCTTTTATATCTTTTTTTCATTTTCTTATTTTTATTTAATCATTGCTTATTCCATTATTAATTCCATTTCTTCTTATCTTTGTTTCAGCCCAAACTTATAATTCAAGGACATCAGTACTTGTCAATCCTAGATCGGGACACAATAAGGTTATATACTCACTTCCATGAAAGCGTGCAGATTCAGCCTACATCATTTAATGTTGCGATGTTGGGTAAACAAATATGGTAGATCCTTCATTTCATTAGAGGATTAGCATTGATAGCACAACTCCTTTGCATCAGGCTCAATGGGGAGGGACTCATCCTATTTAACTTCAATCGGAATATGTAGACAGTGCCCCAAATCTAATTTTATGTGGTGAATTCAAGATCACGAGAATACCACAATGGAATGGCACTTTAGTTGAGCAGATTTTTATCTCTGTCGACGCTCAAACCATTCTCCGCTGTCCGATTTCAGATTGGTGCTAGTGGAATACATTACTGTTTGTGCGGATCAGTTGATGAATCTGTCTCTCATGCATTGCGAGATTGCCATCTAGTCACTCCTATATTTGTTGAAGCCGGCTTCCTTGATGTTCTGTTTAATGGTGGATTTACTTCGTGTGGGGCATGGCTGGAGCATTTGATGAATATTTTACCTGTCCAATTTTTTATCTTCCTTCTACTTATATGGAAAATTTGGCATCATCGAAACAAGCTTTTCCATGATGGTTCTTTGCTCTCAGGCTGGCAAATAATTCTTTCGGCTGAAGCGTTACAATCTGCATATAACGTTTCTGTGTCTACTGCTGGGCTTCTTCGGTGTCAATGGAAGCCGGAATACAACCTCACTGAAGGTCAAAACCACTGAGGGGGTGCTCAAAATTAATGTTGACGGAGCATGTCCCCGGCCACCTGCCACGTCCTCAATCGGTGTCATCATTCGAGATAGCGACGGTGGAGTTATTGCTGGTCGTGCGATTCCAATTCCGTACTCTCGACATAGTGGTATTGTTGAAGCTTTGGCCCTCTCCCACGGTGTTCGGCTAGTGGTAGAAATGGATCTCCGTGCAGTAATGATAGAGAGTTATTCCTTTAACACTGTCCAACAGCTTCAAAATCAGAATTCCGATCGCTCAGTTGTCCGGTTTTACCTCCATGAAGCTTGATAACTTCTTGATGCTCATCTACATTTTTCAGTTGGTTTCATTTGAAGGGAGGCTAATGGTGCGGCACATGCGCTCGCTAATTTTGCATATATTTCTGGTGCTCCATTTAGTTTTCATTCTATAATTTCTGAATGTGTTGCTTCAGTTGTATTGTCTGATGCAATTCTGAATTAATGAGAGTCGTTATTTTCCACATAAAAAAAACTGAGTTAAATCATCACTAGTCATCGGATTATAATTGATCACTCACCAATCACTGTCTATTAGTCTTTGTTCCTCTCTCAGAGATATGAAAATGGCAATCCTCTCTGCAAATAAGCTCTTATTCTTCCTCTTCTTATTCAACTGCCACGTTTCTTTTTTCTCTTTCACTGCAATCGCCGCATAGTCAATCGGTGTCAACTATGGAACCGTCGCAGACAACCTCCCAACTCCGACACAAGTGGCAAACTTTCTCAAAACCGAAACAAACATCGACCGGATTAAGATATTCGACGCGAATCCCGACATCCTTAAAGCTTTAGCTGCGGGAATCTCCGTTACCGTTACAGTTGGAAACGGTGACATCCTACCCCTCGTTAAACTCCCAGGAACTCAAGCTTGGATTGAAAATAACAAATTGTCGTATCACCTGGAAACAATCATCAGATACATCACCGTCGGGAATGAAATCATGGTTACGTCGGATAAAACCCTCATCATTGCTCACCTTTTGCCCGCCATGAAGGCGCTCACATCTGCTCTCGATTCGGCTAACGCTTCCAGTATCAGAGTATCGACGCCGCATTCACTCGGGATCTTGTCCACGTCGGAGCCGCCGAGTTCGGGGAAGTTTCGCAAAGGATACGACAAGCTCATATTCGCTCCGATTTTGGAGTTCCACAAGCAAACAAAATCGCCTTTCATGGTAAACCCATACTCATATTTCGACTTCATGCCTCAAACGGCGACTACGCTTTGTTCAAACTAAACGACAACGTTTTGGACGCGGGCACTGGAGTTAACTATACCATGTTCGATGCGCAACTGGATGCAGTTTATTCCGCAATGAAACGGGTCGGGTATGAGGATGTGGTGATCATGGTGGCTGAAACCGGGTGGCCTTCTGTAGTTGAGCCGGGTCAACCCAGTGTGAGCGTGAAGAATGCGTTATCGTCCAACGGGAGCACGTCAACTCTGGGAAAGGGACACCTTTGATGCCCAACAGTACTTTCGAAACCTACATTTTCGCTTTGTTTAACGAGAACCTCAAAGAATCTGTTTCAGAGCGAAATTTCGGGTTGTTTAAACCCGATTTTACTCTTGTTTACGACGTGGGATTCTCCGCCATGATCAGGTAATTTTGGTTCATTGGATTTGGTCTCCATTAACGTTAGTTACAGTAAAAATGTTTGAAATTTAATGCTTCTGGTTTCTGACACATGACAGCTTTATCATAGCCAACTTTGATAAATGAAGATATGCCGTACGTGGCTTAGCTGTCACCTAACCAAATAACTCTTCTTCCCGCTCTTTTCTTATTTGTCTGAAAAAGGTGCTGTCAGAGATATTCAATGCAATTTCATATAGAGTTTTGTGACGTAGGGGCTGGCTCCAACGGCGGCTCCACAGACGGCGGAGGCACCATCAGCTAGTTCAGGGAAGTGGTGCGTGCCAAAATCAGACTCCAGTGATGCGGCGTTGCAAGCGAACATCGATTACGTGTGCAGTAGCGGGTTGGATTGTAAGCCGATCCAAGCAGGCGAGGCCTGCTTTAATCCCAATAATGTGAGGTCACATGCATCGTACGCAATGAACGCTTACTATCAAGCCAATGGTCATCGTGACTTCAACTGTGATTTCAATCGAACGGGTGTCATCACCTCTACCGATCCAAGTAAGTTGGGTTTTCCTCACCAAAACTTCAATGGATAGAAGTTAGACAAAGATGAAATCCAACTCTTCAGCTAAAATATAAAATATTTTCTGATATAAATATACAGTAACAGTTGGACTGACAGATTTCAATGGTGGCAGGTCACGAGGCCTGCAGCTATTCAGTTTATCAAGGGCCAGCGTTAAAGTTGGAAATTCGATCGCTGCAAATCCAAACCTTCCGGCACGTGTTTTCTTTGGCCAACTTTAATAACTTTAATTTATTGTCCTGTGTGATTTTGATGAACCTTCTCACACTTAATTGACTTGGTACTCGTAACTTTGTCTTTTCTATGTAACTGGCCTTGTTAGATTATTTGAATTGGCCAAGGCTGTAACGTTTGTTTGATGAAGAAGTGTCTTAGCTTTTTCATTTGGTCACCACAACAGAGTTTAATTCCCAAAGAAAAAGGCAAATCTGGAGTACAATGTAATAGGAAAAAAGAGTGATCTCTCAATTTCTAGCTCATTAACAGCAAGATGAATCAACGACCTTGCTCTTATCACAACAAATATTGATTCGACAGTGAAAGATAACAAGAAATGTCGACCCCTGGCCCTGCATCTAACGAAGCCGCTACTCATGGTGTGTTCTTATTACCATTAATCTTGGGTCCCTGCCTGGGAGTTAAGCTCAGCAAACCTCATGCCCAAACGCATCGAGTGCTTCAAGAACTTCTCGGCACATCGTGTCGCGCAGGTCTCCTCTTGCTTCTGCAATGTCTTGCGAGTGAAGTTTTCAACACAGTCGGTGAAGCATCTCTCCACAAGCGAATTGTACATTCTCAAACTGGACAACAATTAAGGAAACAATCAAGTCAATAGATATATCTCTATCTCTAGAACAATGGTTTCTTTTTGCCAAGGGGAATTGGCACTCTAATAAACATGGAAACTACGGGATTGAGTGAAATCACTTCCGTCCCAGACTTTATTTCTTGGCTGATGCTGTGGACAAGATATCGGTCTCTATGCTAACAACGCCAACAAGTGTGAATATGACAATGGCATAACCATCAAAATTTTCCCAAACTCATGCATACGACACCATAAGATAATAGAAACAAAAAGATCTAAAAAGGAAATGACATAAAATTGAAATAAGTACATGTACATGTAAAATACGGTGATCATATTGAATCCATGTAATATACGGTACAATAAGGAGCCAAGTACATTCCATTATTTACGAGAAAATGTGAAATTTAGTTTAATATTTTAAGAAAAATGGAAAAAATCAAAAAATTGTATGCCCGTTATTTTTAAGAAAATAATATTAAAAGTTTAGACCGTATTCTTAAATTTCTAGATCCGTTACGGATTACAATGAAATGGGTGCATAATACTATATAAAGCTTCATAAAAAGGGCTTCAAAGTATAGAAATTAAGTTCCCTAAACGTCCAAGACAACATCGAAAAGTGCTGTTGCGGTTCTAAGGAGAACAACACTTTAACATCTCATTAGATCAAAATACCTATAATTGAAATCGGAAATCTGCATTGCTCACAATCTGAAGAAACTAATAATGATGGAAAATAACAGGGACCCACCAAATGATCTTACCAAAAAAAACCTCTATTTCTCAACAAAATTAAGAAATGAAAGAGGGTGAATCACCTGTCACGAAGCTGAAGGTGGTCGATCATGGCGGACATTCGGTTCTTATCAACTTCAGGTAGACCCTTGAGCACTGCTAATTTGTTGTCCATGCAGTATACTCTTCTTATCCAATCGAATTTCTTTTTGATCGTTTTGAGAGGAGCGAAGTAGGGTTTATCGCTTCTCCTAAGGGGGCGCCGTTATACTCGGTAATTGATTATAATCTAATATTAGAAAAAACTATCTATCTAACAGGGTTAGTTTTGTTCATGGAATGTACGATTATCTTTGGAAATGAGATTAATTTTTAAACATTGAACCCAAATTTAGTATATATATACCCTGGTCAGTATCGATACATTAACTTGGGAGTATCGATACTAATATAAGAGTATCGATACTATCTCTTTTTCCATAGTTGAAATAAGCTATACTCTAAGTAGAGTATTAATATTAATGGGTCAATATAGATAATGAGAGGGTCAGTATCTATACCATCAAACTTTTGGAAACAAGAAATTTTGGGTGATTAGAGACATTGTCGAATGACCCAAAAAAATCATTTTTATCTCTAATAAAATATTAAGTGGAAACAATCTTAATAATGGAAATTCTCACCTAGAAATCCTATGACCTAGGGAATTATAAGATTTTCCTTTTTCTATGCTCGGAAAATGATGGACACCTGAGCCGCTCTAGTAACAAAATGAACGATTATATGTTAGAATGTTTGGCCAAACCCAAGTTAGTGCACTAGAAGCTTCTTTGCTAACTGGGCTTAAATGCCCCAATACTAGATGGAGTAAATTAGCCAGATGTGCATTTTCGATGTAGAATTTTGGATCCCACCCTAGGTAGGCTAGAGGGGTGTGTGTCTCTAATATGTAGCGAAACCCTCCGACCACACCATGATGCCAACCTCTATATGTATGATTATCTTAGCATACTCGTATGATAAGAGTTATGTTCAATGGCATGTGCATATAGAGGATGCATGTAGTATAGTTTGATTATTAGTGTGACACTGAGCTTGTGAACTCAAAGTTCAGAATTCATTTCCGTTCGCAAGATTGTAGGAGGAGCATTTTGAGGAGCAATCCTTTAGATTGCCTTCCAGACCAACTCCAGTTTTTGAGTACGTCTTGAGTTTATTATTAGTGGACATGTAAAGTATATAAACAAGGAAAATATACAATGGCAAAGGGTATGAATAGATTGAGAAAAGTATGGCCAAGACAAGAAAAATATGCAAAGGTAATCAAAAAAAAGTTGTCAAGGCTAAAGTTATCAAAACTCTGTAAATAAATTGGAAACCTCTCACAATCAGACTTCTAACGGGGCACTTGGGTTTGATTGCTACAGTGATAAGTTATTTCATGCTTAGAATGATTTGGTATGCTATGCTTAGGCTGCCCGACAGGATTATTGAGTATTCTTAGACAGTTACTATGGCAATACCACTCGGTGTGAGCTACAACCCTTAGTTTGTCAGACTGTTGTTGTGGCAATACCCCTCTGCGTGAACTATAGTCGTTGTCTATCCTACTCAAGCTTTTTTCTCTTTTAGTCGATTGAAACCCTCTCCTTATCTCTAAGGTAGACAAGTTAGAACATACCATCCCAGATCCATTCCATTGTTCACGTAGATCTATCTTAATTCTCTCGAATCTAAGAATCAATTTCTAGGAAAACGGTAATCTCTCGAAAGCTCTTACAAGGTCTAGAAATATTCCGCCTAGGCACCAGGCAATCTCTCGAAGCTCTTACAGTGTCAAGGCAAAAGGTTAAAACAGTGAACAAAACAACACTTAACAAAACATACTTAATCATTCATTAATGGTAAAATAAAATATCATCCAAGCATTCCCAACACCAAATAAAACAGTTCATGGTGTGGTTAACATCATCCCAAAAATATTCATTAAGTACAAGCCCTTAGAAAAATAAAGCATGAAGAACAAGAGGAAGAAAAACTCCCAGAACAGAGCTCTTTCGTGGAATCAGACCACCACCATGACTGCTCCAGTTCACCAACCGCTCTCGAGGGTCTAGCCACCGACCCGGCGAAGCCTGGCTGTGGAGGGCACCACAGACAGACGAGTGGGGGCGGTGAGAAAAAGGATACCGCACCTCCTTTTTCCAAACCTAGGGTATTTTCTTTGTATGATTCTCCCTTCTCCTTCCTCTTTTTGGCGGTTGTGACTGGGTATTTATAATGGAAATTTTCCTAGGGTTTCTCATCATTAAATACCCCCTAAATAACCATTTTTTCTTGTCCAGCTATAAATGGAAAGGTGACTTGCTGTTGTCAGAATTTTGGGGGATTTATTGCACGTGAGGTCAATCAATCAGCTGGCAGGTGACGTCAGCAGTTCGTCAGATTCACATCAGACTTGTAAGATTTTCCTTGCCTTGGCAAGGAAAATATGTTCTTCACTGTCTTCGTCTTTTTTGTTCCATTGGCCCTATCAAATTAATTTGTGTCGACAAATAAAGTTTTCCTCAGACATTTCCTGCATCATCACAATCAACAAACAACCTTTCTCACCAGCAGCATCAGTTTAATCAAATAAACTTTTCCTCATAAAACTTATCCACCACATGAAAATATGTCCTAAATGCAACTATATGAAGCTAAAATGCTATGTCAATGGCTTTTAGACAATCAATAACTTAAGTAAAAAGACCTAAAATATAGTCTTTTTACGGAGTTATCACACCCCCAAACTTAAGTTATTGCTTGTCCTCAGGCAATGGATAATAAGAAATTGAGAAATAAGTTGCCATGGCAGAGCAAATAATTAAGACAATCATGTGGTTTAAAATTTCAGCCCTTATCAAAAAAGTTTAGTCTCAACATGGTAGACTATACGAGAAGTCAAGTACATTTCCCAGGTGAAGATTCTTTGTCGGTGTGTGTGTGCATGATTGTATAGCAGTCTATGCTTTAACATAGTTAGAAAACTCATAAGTAAGTGCTTCTGTTTTGCCATGGCATCAAACTATTCATCTAGCATAGTTTCACTTCTATTTGTTTTCAACATGTAACTTCAATTTTTTTTCTTCAAGGAGAGTCAGCTCATCACACTACCATCCCACACTCTAAGTGAAAGGGAGCATACCTTCCACCCCCGAGCTAGCCAGGTAGAGTTTTTTTAACACTGCTTCAAGGGGAGTCAGCCCATCACACCTACCATCCCACACTCTAGGTGAAAGGGAGCATACCTTCCACCTCGAACTAGTCAGGTAGAGTCATCCCATGACTGCTTTCATTCACTCATATGCTGAGGCAACCAATTATTTAAGGAATTTTTTTAGGTCATACCATTGCACAGTAGAGTGTCCCTCTACAGTTAAGCCGAGACATTTATTTGTAATTCAACACAATTCAAAACATTAAGGAGTTAAATTTAGCATTTTAAACATTTAATGTCAAGACGAACAAAAAGTTCTTTCCTAAACTTTTCTAAGCACCTTAAGCAGAGAAAACATACAATCGTGTTCAAAGAGTTACAAAAAATCAAGTCCTAAGGTTGGTTCTAGCCTTTAACAGTCATGTAAAATAATTCTGGCCTAGGCAATAAAATTTGCTTTCATCATTGGGCATCATCAACTTTTTCCAACAACTATCCTAATGAAACTTATGCCATGAAATCAAATATTTCAACCAATTATTATAAAAAAAACTAAAATGAAATCAAATATTTCAACCAATTATTATAAAAAAAACTAAGTATGGAGTACAACACCTCCCCCAAAATTGAGAGATGCATTGTCCTCAATGCATGAAGACTAAACTAAAGATGAAATGTAATGTAAGGTACCTTGACTAACATCTAATTTGATGGTGGTGGGGTTGTTTTACGCAGATTCCTCAGGTGGAGAAGTCCAAACGTGATTTGTTATTCTCTTCAGGCGATGCTTGATCAGAGGTGTTGCAATTTACCTTGGCATTTGTGCAGATGGGTGGAAATCATCAGTAATGTAATCATTTGTGCCAACACCAATTGAGTCTTCTTTCTAAGTGGGTGCAACATCCACAGGGGATTTACTCTTGTCCACATGCTTGGGAGCCTGTTCTTATAAAAAAAACTAATATTAAAAGTAAAAAAAGAAATAAAGAAAAGAAAAACAAACAAACAAACAAATAAAATATTAATTTTGCCATGACAAAAAAATAAAGAGGGTTGAAGGGATGCAAACTCTAAACATCCTAAAATGATATGTCAGTTTTTTCGTGTTCTATCGGAGCACCAGTATAGACCAAAGTGCCCCACACATATAACAGTTCCACCTTCAAAATATTTTGTCCTGGCAGTTCGTATCTTTCACATCTGAATTGTAGAACCTTTGCAGTAGTCCTATCTCCTTTAAAGTGCTCTCCACATGAAGCTGAATTGTAGTGGAATAGGATCTCTTCGTTATGCTCCTTTAATCGTGGAGGGAAAGGTTGACGGGGCCTGACGTTATCTGTTGCAGGTGGGGGTGAAACTTTTGTCATGGCAATAAATTTTCCAACATCAGCAGGATGACTTGTTAAACCCTCGTCCTTTTCCTTCTCCATAGGCAATTCTTCTTGTACAAAAAGTTCAGCTTGACCTTCAGATTCTTCTGGTATAGTGTCGCGGCGAATATTTTCTTGATTGAGTTGGGTACCACTCCTCATTGTAAGCGTACTGCATTGCTCATTTTCATGAGGCTTAGTGACCTCAATATCACTAGGGAGGCTTCTTTGTAGGCAAGCATGTAATGAATTGGCAGTTTGGCTCACTTGGTTCTCCAATACTATCAAAGATGAGCTATGACTTCGTAATAAAGTTCTCTGACTTTGCAACAATATGCCTTGTCTTTTAATTGTTGAAGAGTGTTTATGAAGCAAGGCCTTAGTTGAAGTCATGAATTCTTTTTTCGAGGCAATAAAATCTTGCAGTGAAGCTTCGAGGGAATTAGAATTTGTGAACGATGCTGAACCCTTGTTAGTATTTTTCCAGGACATCTGTTGATGCTGAAAATTTTTCGGTTCAGAAATACTTTGTTGTGGCATGTTAAGGTTGCATGCATGGTTGTTGTTGGTCCCTTGATTACCCCACAAAAAATTTGGATGTTGTCG